CTCCTCCTTTAGGAATGAGGTCATTAGTTCTGAGTGACCTTTCTATCCTGGGAAGGAATTCTAATAATTTTCCAAACTTATTTAATGACTAAATTGAATGCCCAACTGAAACTTCACTCTCAACCTCTAAACCTTTTTTTAGGAGGGGCTTTTTCTGTCCTTTTTGCCTCCTTCACAGAGATCCCCTGAGGAAGAGACAATTGAAATGGGCTGGAGGCTCAGCCTGTCACCCTGGAGGGCAGCCTGGCTTCCTTTGGCCTGTTTGGGATGACAGTAAAGGGATATGGTTGAAATATATTGCCTCACATTCAGTAATACTGTTTCCTGTCCTTCAAATTCATTTTAAGAATTTATTTTCAGTTGTGTAACTGGGGGAGACTGCACTACTTCATATGTTACCTTCTTGTAAGTAATATTTTTCTAGTAGTTTCTACTAGTTTCTGGTAAGTAGAACGTGACTACTTCATAATTGTTTTTGAGAATACATCCACGCTACTCTGTGTTGTCAACCTGTTCTTATTTAATCGCAGAACTTAGTACTTGCCCACGTTTTCTTTTTGTAATAAAAGCTTAATATGCCCATGTTATTCCAGATCCAACTAACTGATGTCTGTTGGTTAGCCCAAGAAGCAGTTCCGTAGCTATATAGTGGCATCATCCTTCTGAAATGTTTTTCTCTCTGATTGCTCCTGTGTATTACTCTGTTTTTTAAAACTGTCGCCCTGTGAGTATCTCGGGGCCTTTTGTTTGTTCTAACAGTGACGCCTTTGACCTCAGACTTCATTGTATAATTTCTCCCCCTGCTCTTTCATTTCCCTCTCCTGTTTTGAAAGCAGTGTGGCAATATGATGTTTGTGAGGGGAGGGGGCTGCTGGGGGCAGGTTCCTGCTAAATGAGCCACTGAAAAATTAGAGCTTTTGAAACCTTTGCCTGTTTTTGTGTTGATTCCATGATTAAATGTGTGGTCCCTTTGTTGTTTAGATTCTGGGCAACGTTTTTAGGCTTTTATTTACACTCCTCTTGGGTTTGGTAAAAAATTCAGTACAGCTGAGAGAATGCTTACAAGATGCTGTAATGGTTTGTTATAGCTCTGCAGCTGGTTGTATTGTACCTCTGCAGTTTCTTAAGCAGCTACGAATTAATTTTTAAAGCTATCCTAGAAGTAGTAAGTCTGTAATGATCTTAACTCTGCCCCCATAGTTTTCTTCTCCAACGTGCTAGACTTTGAATGAAAATTTTGCTGTTTCTGCTTTCTGGTAATATTTAAAATTGTGAATATGAAAATATGTGAAGTCTAGAAATATGTACAGATAATTCCCAGTTTGAGAATTGTCAAATCAACTGTGAGAACCTAGCCATTTGTAACAAACCCAAATTCTAGTTCTCATAATAATGCTATTTCACTTAACGTCTAACCAATGCTTGTAATGTTGTTTCTATTAGAAAAATATGTTTCTACTTTCCTCTTGAGTGAACTCTGAGTTTAGGAGCTTAGTGGGAAGCTTCCTGGGAACCCTAGAAAGTAGTTCTGTGTGTCAGCCCCCAAGTGTTAAAACACCCTTGCTGTTTGTTCGTGTGGATAGCTTGAGCTGTTCAAAAGATGTCATATTTTTTTTCTGTTTACTCCTAGTCCGTAAACTAGTAAATTAACTTCTATAATTAGCTTTCCTTTTTCATAGGGAGAAACAGGGTACGTTAGTACCCTGTTTATTAAAATGTATGTAGGAAAAAACTAATTGGAAGGTTGTGAGATGAATTTTTTAAAAACGTTAAGTCTTAAATTCTCCTTGGCTCTGTTAGTATGTACACTTAGCGGATTTAAAAGTATTAAATGCCAAAAGGTCCTTAGGCGTCAGAGAGATTTTAATACTAGTTGCTGTATCTAAGGGTTTTGAAAGTGTATGCCAATGTGGTAAGTTGTGAAAACTTAATACTTGTCCATTTTTAAATTGGTTGTTATAGATGCACATCTGCAACTCTGTATGATAGAATGTAATTTTTTTTAAATATGGTGAGCTAATTTGGAGTTTGGCAAGCTGTACCTTAGTTGACATTCACATAGCTCTGGGCCAGGTTTCAGAGCTTCTCCATGCTGGGCTCTGTTCTCTGGTGAAAAGCGAGGCTCTACTGACTACAGCAAGTAGTACTTAGAGAATATCACCAATGCTGGCAACTGCCGTTACACAGATAGATCAGAATCTGGGCAGGATAGGACCCTGTGTGCTTGTCCTCTGTGTTTGAACATTGGGCTATGGCTTCCTTGGGTACCTTAGATTGAAATCAGATGAAAAAATAGTCAAATCATGTGAGATTTTTGTCTTTTAATTTCCCGTTGTCTTTTTACCATTTTTAAACATGTATTTCATCATTTAATATTCTCAGTTGTCTTTTTGATAATTTTTTTTCCTTTGGTTCTACCTCCTATACTGTCCTGGTCTTTTCAACTTCCATTACGGTATATAAAATGTGAAACTGGTACAAATATAACAAAGATAAGTGTTTTACAAGAAATTATTGTTTTTTCCTTTTTGAGACAGGGTCTTGCTCTGTTGCCCAGGCTGCTTTCTCTCCTTTTTTTTTTTTTATTTATTATTCCAGGGTTTTGTGAGGGTACAAACATTATAGTTACACTTTATGTCTTTGCCTCACCCAAATGCGAGTTAAAGGCATGCCCTTCCCTCCCTTTAGTGCTCCCCGTGTGCTTTAGTTGTAGGTTTGCCCCCCATCCCCCTAATCCCTAGAGAGTATTTCTGCCATGTGATCAACCTAGCGTTGATCTCTCCTTTTAATATAAACAGCAGGCGAGCAAATTTTAGCACTTGATTGGTTCTGTCAGCTGTGGTAGAGATCTTAAAAGCCGCATACTTTCTGAGTGATGGCTTCTTAGTAGAACTCGGGCGGGGTCTTCCTGTGGTCAGCCGGGCACACTTCTTTGCCGCGGGTGGAGTGGAGGTGGTGTGCTGCGTGGGCGTTTGGTGCCCTTGCCGTACCCATGAGTTCCTCTTGTTCTGGGGCTGTGATGCTTTTCCCTTAAAGACCTTGTTTAGAATAAATGAACAAAAATAAGTGTGGGTATGTACATACCTAAACATATGTACATTTATATGTATGAAATTTATTGTCAGTGGTTTTTCATTTTTCAGGTCCTTGAACTGTGCAAAACACAGTTTTATCTTTAAGAGTTTTATTTATTTATTTTTTACTGAGACAGGGCCTTGCTCTGTCACCCAGGCTGGAGTGTAGTGACGCAGTCATTATTCATGGCAGCCTTGAACTCCTGGGCTCACGTAATCCTCCCACTTCAGTTCCCAGGTAGCTGGGACTACAGGCACATGCCACCCCTCCTGGCTAAATTTTTTAAATTTTTTTTAGCGATGGGGGTCTCATTACATTGCCAAGACTGGTCTTGAACTTCTGGCTTCAAGCAGTCCTCCTGCCTCAGCCTCCCAAAGTGCTAGGATTACAAGCATGTGCCACCATGCCCAGCCCTTTAAGGGTTTTATGTAATATAGGTTTATACTATATTATTTTGCAAGAGATTTGAAGAAATTTAGAAATAGGGCATTTTCCCTTGTATATTTCACTGTTAGGTAAAACAGGACATTCTGAAGCAGAGTCTCTCAGCTTCCTGACTTCCCCTCCCTAGGCTACCTGTTTCCTCGTCAGTAGTGCCATGTTCTCAGGCTGCCAGGCCAGGTGCCCCAGCTGTTTCTCTCTCTATTCTGTCTTGTCTTTCAGCATGATTTAGTGGAATGAGCTACGTGGAGTTGGGAAGTCTGAATTCTTAAGCTGGCTTTGTTCGAGTGATTTGAGCTTTATCATTATTCATTCCCAAGAACCAAGGAAGAGCCTATATTTCCTACTCCTGAACATCCTTGGTCTATTGTGTGTCTTTATATGATCTTGCTTCCGGGGGAGGGTCTGCCCTCATGTGGCACCTGCCAGAGAGGCTGATACTCTGCCTCCACCCCTGCAGCACTCTCTGGTGACATTTCTTGGCAAGAGGTTGTATAGCACCTCTGGCTTCATTCCCAAGTCATCATTCAGGCTGACTTAACACTCACTGATCCTTACAGTCCCTAAAGAAAAAGTGGTGAATTCTTCCTGCTCAGGGAACTTGTACTCCAGGTGGATCTCCTGAAAGAACGTGGAGTCAGAATCAGACATGCGTGCATAATTCAGCCCTTCATCAGGCACTCTCTGTGTGCCGAGCACTTGAGCTGGGCATTTAGCTGACAGGACCTAGCCTTGGCCAGCCCTGATGAGGGCTCCAGTGTAGACTAGCGACACTGCCAAACACCCCCCACGACCATGACATGATTCCAAACACAACCTGAGTCAGTACTAAGTTGTTTCAGAGACTGGTTCTGGAGTCTTACACAATGATTCCTTAGACTTTCTGAGGAAGTGGGTTTGCATCCTTTATGGGGTGTTACAGTGTAATTCCTTTAATATATGTGGATACAATGGTGTCACCTTTTAAACATATGAAAACTGCGGTTTCTTGTTTTGTCTTTTAAAGGACACTTCCTTGCAGTTTATTATCTGTTATGTATAGCATCTTTACTTGGAAGAGATGAAAAATACTGCAGATATTTTGTCAATATGCAAATGCTAGTTTTTTGAAGAGAAGTTTTAGCAATGAGGGTGTTTTCAGAAACTTTACCAGATTCCTTCTTTGTTTTAATGAGTAATTACAGTTATCACTTTAAATTCTAGAGGAATTTATTAATGCTCAAGATTCTGTTTAATATGTAGTTATGTCATTGGGGTATGTGGTATATATTTGCAATTAATTAATTGCTTATTGTTATTTTAACTGTAGGAGCTCTTACCAAAGTAAAGGAGAGTAGGCGGCACGTGGAAGAAGGGAAGATGGAGATCCAGAAGGCTGATGGCATTCAGGATCGCTGTAACACTATTTCTTTTGCCACTTTGGCTGAAATTCACCACTTCCATCAAATTCGAGTAAGAGACTTTAAATCACAGATGCAACATTTCTTACAACAACAAATAATATTTTTCCAAAAAGTGACCCAGAAGTTGGAAGAAGCTCTTCACAAATACGATAGTGTTTAATGACTGGACGTTGGATTGTGGACTTTTTTTCAAGTTAAAGGATAATTTCTACAGCAGAATAAAAACTGCTATCAAAGAGCTATTGCCAACTATCGGTGGTGGTACAAGGATGGTTTTGTGTTCAACTGAAACGCAGCTGAATATATAATTATGTAGGAAATAAACAGTTAATATGGTTATGTAATAGAAACAGTACCACACATTGTAACTAAATTATACTATGTATGCCTACACTACCATTGTAACTTTTGGAATAATGATTATACTATTTGCCTTATTGCTTTTTGAAGTATGAGTATTTTAGTGCATACTTTGTAGACCTCAAAACCCACGAAGGGTCTCAAAGAAGCTGGCTGGATAAAAGCCTGCTGTGGATGCCTTTTTACTCTCACAGATTGGGATTACCTAAATTCAACCTGTTCTCTGTTTACAACTCCAACTAGAGCAGCTATGCGACTTTGTGCCTTTAGACTCTTGGTTTTTCGTTTCTCCCCTCCCCTCCCTCACCTTTTTAAGTAAGACACAACTTTTCTGATTGAAAGAGGGAAAGGCCAGTGCATATAATGACAAACTGCTGATAACCTCATGTTGGCAGTGGGGCTGGAGTGGGAGGATCAGCTGTCATTGATCTGCACAGCAAGAATCATCTCCTGATAGGATGCCGGTGAACGCAGAGGAGTGAGACTCACTGCTCCTCTTGGATACGAAGTCTATTAGGGAAGAAATGGTGCCACTGTATTCCCTTAGATGCTACAGCAGCATAGCTTCTTCACACAAGTGTCCTGAAAACTTGGTGTGAAGATTTCAGCAAACATGTCTTACAACTTGGAGAAGGAGGAGTCTAATCAATCAGGGGATGAAGGTATAGAATCAGTGACAACACATACTTGGTTTTAGTTCTTAGGAGGGTTTGTTTGTTTGTTGTTTTTTTTTTAGCTTAAAGATTTTCTTTTAATAGTTTTTTTGTTTTTTTTCAAATGGATCTACACTGTTAACTGATTGAGACTCCACTGTGATTCACTCGTTTACTTAAAAACTTTTCAGGGATGTCTGTAAATTTCAGTGTTTTACGTGATGAAAAGTGGTGTTGGTTGATCTAAGGAGGGACCAGAAATAATTTCTAC